AAGAGACCAGACTGCACCAAGAAGAGGAGAGTCGCCAGAAGGTCAACTTTGAAGGCTCAAACCTGCTCACCATCCCCGTGAAAACCCTCTCAGGGAGGTGAGTAATGCACACTTTGAGGCCCAGTTCTGGGATGAAAGCAGGTTTATTTCAAAGGTTTACGTGAGGCAACAGGTGTATTCTTTATTTCAACATAGTCTCGTGTCACAACAAACAGCTCGTCTTTTATACTTACTTTTTGTAATGGTCTGATGCAGCAAACTACATGTTAATGGCTTTAAAATGTTTAATAGACTGTAAATAATTCCCAAGAAATGTTCTTCCTCCCTCATAATTATATTGTGGGTGATAATATCCAGAAACGTTGTCCATGTAGCTTGTGGTAAAGGTATAAACTAAAGATGTACCCATATTTTCTGATGCATCGTGTTGTCTTGTACAACGTGTAATGCTAACTGTGATTCTGGACACTGGTCAGCTGTGTGTTATTATGTCCATCTTGAACAGATCATACAGAATAGGACTAGTGACCCACAGCCTCCCAATGGATGACGAGGTAGCAGGGTTGTGTGTCTGATGCAAAACATCTGACCCACACAGCTGTGTTCTAACCCTCACTGATGCTCAGACAGTTAGCGCATGGCCTAAACTGTCGTCAAAAATAGAAAGGCTGCCTTAAAACACACTGCTTTGTGTGATTTGGTTTCTCGTTCATTTATATTTTGAGGGTAAAATCATGTGACAAAACATTTGTCTTGCACTGGGTCGGGTACCCTACAAAAAGTTATGAAACAGGGCAAAAAATTATTATTTAAATAAACGGTTGCAGGCACGGGTAATAATCTCTCTTAAAAACTCAACACAAGCATGTCTCTCTAATCGTCTCTCTAATTGTCTCAAAGTCTACATTTATTTTAAAGAATAGATTTTGCGATGCTGAGCTGTGCAGGTTTGCAAAACTGGACCTGTGCAAGACTCTTGTCCTTGTCTTACTAACTCAGAATGTGTATCAATTAAACTTGTGAATAATAACTTCTGCCCCTAATGGAAAGGACCCACATTTCCTGATACATGTCAGCATAGAACTCACTGTGTTTTGTCTGTCATTCATTTGTTTATTTGTGTTCATCTCTGATTTCTCTGCATGTTTGTGTCTGCTTGTTTGAGTCTGCTTGTTTGAACTTGTCTTGCAGTAAACGTCTCCTGTTGATTTGGTGTCTCCATGCCGGTCTTCTCTTTGTTTTTCATGTTTGTGTGTGTCCGTTGTTTTGTGTGTGTGTTTGCATTGTGGCATGAAGTTCTGATACTGACCCCTTGGTTGTAAATATCTCTGATGAAATGGCCAAATCTGCAGCAGGGAAAGCCGTGAACTCGAGTGCCTCATGCCTCCAACCTGTGAAGCGTAGCGAAAGGTAGCTATGCCATCTCCTGGAGTTTCCCAGAGCCCCACCTCCCGACTGCATCACTGTATATCATATTCACCCAAAAGGCTAAGACTGCCAGAATATTTGTATACTTTAGTGGATCAAACTGAGCATTTCATCGCTGCCTGGAAGGTAGGATATGAGTTTAAGTAGGAGAAAATAGTCTATCAAAAATAGTCTTGAGTTTCAGTCTAGATCTTAATCGGCAAAGAACAGGGTTTGTTTTCTCTGTCAGTACTAATTAAAAGAATCCTCAAACTCTTGTACCCATCCAAATCCGTAAAACTTTTTTGCAAAAGTTGACAAACCTCAAAGTCTCACCTCAGAGCTGAATATTTTAACACAGACCTCACATGAGCCCTGTCAACAACAAGGTGAACCATAGGTGGTGAAATGTAGTTCTAAGAACAGATCCATCACTCCTCTACCTGACAAAATATCACCCTTCAGCCCCTGCATAAATTAGCACCGGTGCTCACCTTGCCTTGTGCTCTCTGTCTCTGTAACAGCCAGGAGAAGATGGCCTGCGTTAAAGTCGACATCAGCCCCGACTCACCAGGAGGGGGTTCCAGCTCCGAGACCTTCCTGTGATACCCCCCCCTCCCCTCAATACCTCCTCCCACTCAACACACTTCACTGACGGGCACCATCAGAGCGGCAGAGGGGGG